CAACAGCGACATAGGTAAAGAACCTACAATACACCATCGTAACCAAAGCAAGAGGGAAAAGTCACAAACCGAGGAAAAGAGCTGGAGAAAGAGAACTCGTCGAAGCCTCTGCCAGAGGAAGCGACAAGCCAAACCAGATCCGTCAACGTCCTCCAGCACGTCGAGAACTCCATACATCGCTGCCACGACCAACCAAACCCTTCGCAGAAGCTCCAGAAGAACAGATCGAGATTCCAAAAGCTCCACCGACGAGAAATCAAAGCAGATCTACTCTGCTAGCCACGACCCTTCTTGTAAATCTAACCAACCGAGGCAGATCCACCACCTTTCGCAAATCAAACCTCGCTGAGCCACCGCAGCGACCCAAACTAGAGAAGACACGAGACCTAGCCAGACCACCAACTCCATCGGAACCGAGAAACAAGCCATCGATAAATCGATAGTTGGGAATCAAAGCAAAAAGCAAAAAGCATAAAGCAAAGTAAAGGAAAACCCCTCCCACGGTGGCGTCGAGCTTTTCCGGCCACCGGAGAGAGAAACGAAGACAATTATATCTTCGACTTTTTTTTTGTTGTTGTTGTAGTTAAATGCAATTATATCTTCTTCTCTTCTCACTCATAAAAAAAAAAAAAAGTGAATTTTTATATCAAATTTTTGTGTAACAGTTACAAAGAATTGAATTGATCAAGAAAACTCAAACTATCATTCTATTCTATATACAGAGCAGAGGAACCCAGAATTAAACTGTGATTAGACGACTAAATCGGCCAAGATTGGAAACTTTTGTATTCTATATACAGAGGAACCCAGAATCAAACTGTGATTAGTCGACTAAATCGGCAAGACCGACTAAGATTGCAGTTCCGATCATCACCATAAACCAAACCCACCAAAGAGACACAAGAGTCTTTCTTCGTTTAGTACCATTATCAGACCAATCGTAGATCGCACGAGCAGATATCATCCCGGAGGAGAGAATCAAATTAACTATACGATGTATACGATCCTGAGCCAAGAATCCAAGAAGAATTGGAAGGGAACCTCCACGAATGAATGCAGAAGCAGCATAATAAGACTCTTTGAAGCAATTCTTTAACGTCATGGACTTCAATACACTTTCTATGAAGGTTGAGATGAATATCCCAGATACGCCTGCCAAGAAGATGAGTATCGCGACCCAAAACGCCACAGATTTGTTTTGAAGCACCATGCACACGGGAATCGACATTACACCGAGGAGGAAATTCTTCAGAAAGTTACGCGCAAATTCATCGGAATCAGTGAGCGAAGCCACCATTGAAAACGAAGGAGAAGGACCAAAGAAATTCAGAGGAATCTCAATTCGGAGGAAATTCAGAAGAAGAAAAAAGATGATTGCTGAGGAATTGCAGAGGATTCTCACTGCGAAAGAAAAGATGATCATGTGTTTTTATAATCTTTGTTATTTTGGCGCTGCAGAGAAGAAGATGAAAACAAAGTTGGGCCAATATTGTAAAGCCCATATAAGAAATGTATTCAAGCCCAAATGTATACAGAAACGCAAAATAAATGGTCATTTAGTTTTCCAAATTTTGTTTTTGTTAAAAATGTTAAGATTAAATTCTCAAAATTTGGTCTTTGCACATTTAATCACCCCGAAATTGGCGTTGATTATAACATAAGACCATGTCCATTGCAAAAGGTTCTCATGAGTGTTCTAATCATTAA